GCACTTTAAAGTTACCATTTCTAAAGTTAAATTCATCTCCCTCTCTCCTCCTAGACCTGCTTTCCTTGGCGCCACCAACCATCCAGATGTCCCAGACATGCTCTGACCACTTTTGTGCCTGTGCAGAAAGCATGCCTGGATACTCCCCCACAACTAGTACGCCGGCATCCACACCCACCGTCTCAGCCTGTTTCTCCTTCTATAACAGGGTGTCACAGATTGGGTGATTTGCAACAATAGAATTTTATTTAGTTCACAGTTCTGAAGGCTGGGAAGTCCAAAGCATGGTGCTGGAGCTGGTGAGGGTCACCCGTGGTGGAAGGTGAGAGAGAGAAGTGAGAGTATCAGAGAGCAGAGGCACCAGAGACCCGACTCACGTTATAACTACCCACTCTTGCAGTAACTAACCCGGTTGCAAGATAACCACATTAACCTAGTCGCGGGGCAGAGCCTGCATGACTCCGTCACCTCTCATTGGACCACAACTCCCAAACTGTTGCATCGGGGATTAAGTTTTTGGCATGTGAACTTTAGGGGGACACAGTCAAACTATAGCAGCCACCATCTTGGGTAAATAGGTGTCAACAGATGTAGAAGGACTGAGGTTCTGGAACTTCCACTGGTGAGAACCCCAGGCCTCTACACTTTAACTCAGATGCAGACACACAGGCAGCTATTCCCTCTCTCAAACTCACCATAGAAAGACATTCTTTAGTAAGTCCCAAGCCCCTTGTTGGGGAATCTCTTTACAGCAAGTGTTCAGCACTCCTGCTGCAGTTTTTATTCAGGGGAAGCTGGTGGGTGGCTCAGTACACACAGACCCCTGACCCCTCCCCCTGGTACACACCCCCTTCCTCTCTGCATGTACTCTGTGCTCTGCACGAGCAAGAGCCCTGGGAGAACCACCCTCGCCTGCAGGATAACTCTCCAGCTCTGGCACACCAGTAGTGGCTCAGCATCCCTGGACCCCCTCAAGAAGAAATCTCAGGCTTGCCCCAGTGGGTTGCAGAAAGTAGTTTCCATTCTCAGCTGTTGATGGACAGTTAACCTAATTGTATTCGTTGTGCTGGGAAACACATGCCCCTTGAACAAGAAGGGGGCATGGAGAGGCAGCCTGAGGTCCCTAAAGGAGCCCAGTAATAATCACTCCTGGGCCAAATCAGTTTATGCTCATCTCTGGGTGAGCTCAGCCATGAGGATTTGCTCTCAATGTCACCAACAACCCTCCAGGAAGAGGGCCTGGCACCAAAGTTCTTGTGATCCAGTAAGGGAAGTTCCAATCTTAACTAGGAGTGGGGGTGGGGGAGGTTCAGCAGGTTCTGACCACCTGAAGGTCAACCTTGTCTACACATCATGTCACTGGCATTCCACCACTGGCTGGGCTGCCTGGCCCACTGCTGTTGGCTCTGGCTAAACCTTCCCGCTGCCTCATCTCACACTTAGCACCATGTGACTCCAGCCCTAAGGCTTCTGCAGGTTGCTGATATGGAAGAATACTCAGGACCCCGTGGTAAACAGGCCTACCCTGCTCCTGTGGCTGCAGGCACACTGCCCAGGGCGGGAGGCAGGGCTCACACCCACTCAGTGATAAGCCTGACACTGCAAGAGTAGATGTGATGTCCTGTGGTGTGAACTTCAGCCAAAGAGATACACAGATACATGTTCCCTCCTGCAGTGGGCAATGGTCTCATAGGCCTCTGCAGACAGACAATCAGCTGTGCTCCACATGAAGCTACAGCCGGCACACTAACACACTGCTTTGTACATGTCCTCCTCCCTTGCCTGCCACTTTCCCCTCTCCCCTCACTCCTGTGGCTTTGGCCTTGGAAACTACATTCTTTGACTTAGCAGGTAAGCTTTTGCCTTGGGCTCTGTTCTCCAGGGAGCCTGGCCTAAGACAGCTCTTATACTTCCTGGATGCCAAGTACTCTGCGTGTATGTATGTGTTATTTTAAGTCTTTACAAAAACATGTTTGCAGATGAACACAGGCGCCTTGGGGGAAGGAATGAAAAGGATAAAATAACTTGCCCAAGAACACACAGCCAGTAAGTGGATGAACTGAAATTTTCGCTTAGGTCTGTCCAACATCAAGATTTGTGCCCTCTCAGACCATGAGCACTGAAGTCACACAGACCAGGGATGAATGCTGGCTCTGAACTTCCTGGCTGTGTGATCTGTCAGGTCACGTAACCTCCCTGAGCCTCCGTGCCCTCGTCTGTATAAGAGACAGATTTAGACGCAATGACCTCTAAGATCTCTTCCAGCTGGGACATGCAATAGCCCCAAGAACCTCACAGGGGACCCTCTGCTGTTATAGCCTGTGAAACTTTCCTGTACACCCAGGGAAAGTGGTCACAGGGGATGATTTCAGACCTTAGGGCTAGGGGGAACATCTCAGCAGACATCTCAAAGTTTTAAACCTGGGGAAGATGGGGTCCCAGCATCACCCAGTCCTGCCGAGGGCATCCCAACAGCCTGTTGCAAAGCCCTTTCTTTCTTCTTACCCAGGTGACTCCCACCCATTTTTAAGAAGTCAGCTCAAGTATCTTTTCCCCAGAGAAGCCTTCTTTCCCCTCCCCTTGTGTCTCCAGACTGGATCCTAACCCCCTCTAAACATCCTCTTACAATTCCTTGCTCCCTGCCCCTCTGCCCCACACCTGCCACAGTGTAGAATTATATATTAACACGACCACTCACAGATCTTTGTTTTGCTCTCTAGTCTGGAAGATCCATGAGGGCAGTGTTCATGCTTACTTTGTCCCCCATTACATTCCCAACGTCTAGAACAATGGAAGGTGTTCAATAAATATTTATTTAATGAATGGCCTACTTAACTAGTGAACAACTGGTAGCCCAGTCTTGAGAAAGCAGCGGTGTTTTTGCTTGAAAGGAGACCTGGGGTGAATGTTAAGATCCCTGTCTGATTGCCCAAGTCACTCAATATGTGACTGCATGTGCTTTAGTCCCAGACTCCCCTCCCTCTCCTGCCAGTCCTTGTCACAGCTCATTAGGGGACTAACAACGAGATGGCTGTGCAGTGACACTGCCGTCCCTGACGTCACCCTACCAGTCATCAAGCACCACAAGGGGCTGAAGAAATGGGTTCAAGGTGATTGAGGACATCGGTAAGAAGGAAAGGAAGCTTTCTATGGCCTACTGAGCTGCACCTTAACCGTATGAAGAATGTTCCAGAAGGAGGTCTGGAAGATTCAGTAGAGAAAGGCAACAAATCCTTTTCTGCCTGTACCATTATCAGGACGGGCTAAATCTCAAAAACAGAGACGCAAAGACCACAGAGGGCTCTCTGATGAAGCCTTCACCCTGCCATCCCCACCCCACGTCAGTCCTCTGGGGCTCCCTAGGCCTTTTGCAGCCTTCTGCTGACATGTCAGCCTTCTGTCTGCAAGCCTCTCTCTGCAAGCAAGGCCTCACTTCTGAACCAGCTTCCTCTGGACCCCAGTCACTCTGGGTGGTTCATAGTTCCCTGATCAAGGTTTGCTGTTTGGGGGTCATTGCAGATGTGATCTATACTTCCAGGCAAATTCCTAGGCATCCTCCCTCCTCAGCACTTAAATACTTTTTCCGTAGGGCTCATCCATGTAGAACTTTTCATAGTGCATTGCTAAGGATTGCTTATTTAATACCGTCAATCCTCAAAGACTAGGATTTTAAAAATTTATCTTATGTTCCAAGTTTGGTACATAGAAAGAATTAAAATCATATTAGTTCTACAAATAAAGGGATCTGGGTTCAAATCCCAGCTCTGTCTCATGCAAACCCTGTAGCTTTGGATGAGTCATTGGCACTTGGGTTTCCTCATGTATAATGTGGGGATAACATCGAGCTAAAAGGTACACAGAGGACTAGAGATAAGGCAGGTACCACCTTGCACATCAGCACACTCTTGGGGGCTGTAGGGACTCTTTGCACCACTGAGAATCCAGAGAGACAACAGGGTTGGTTCGAGGTCACAATAAGAACCCAAGTCTGTGCTCTCTGCAGTCTCGGCCCTCATTACCTATCCTGAACATAAAAACTCAGATGTGGAAATATGGATAGTGAATTAGCAATGGTTTAATTAATTTTTACGGTTGTTAATGGTGTGTACAAAGAAAACAAGAGATTTCCCCCTGGAAGAACTTCCGATACTTCTGCTCTAACCCAACAGATGACTGACATTCAGTGACGCTCACCTGCATTTTAATCAAGCCTCCGCATTTGCCCTGTAAACCTACAGCTGGTCCAAGCACACCTTGGCCCTTGATCCATAAAAGGACATTTAACGAAAGCAGAAGATGACACAAGAAGTAACAAAATAACCACAACTGTGACCAAATACTGTGTCTGTCAATCCCTTGGCCCCGTTATTTAGTTCTGTCTCCCCAGACAGCACTTCTGAAAGATCAAAGTCAGCGGAAATGGGTGTGTTCTATCTTGCAGGGCCTAAATTCTCCCAGAGGGAGCTAGGAGAGGTAAAATAAACAAAACAAAAAGCATCTAGATCAGGGGTCCTCAAACTTTTTAAACAGGAGGCCAGTTCACTGTCCCCCAGACCGTTGGAGGGCCCGACTGTGGCCCTGGGATGAGTGGGCTGCTAAGCAGGACAGGCAGCGGTGGCTAAAACACCCAGCAGGCCGGATAAATGTCCTAGGTGGGCACATGTGGCCCACGGGCCGTAGTTTGAGGATGCCTGATCTAGATTATCCCAAAATGGAAAGCACCCCCCCAATCCATGTGAATTGGTCAAAGCCTCCATTACTTTGACCTTGGGAGAGGTCAAAGACTCTCGCCGGGTCAGGATCACAGGGACATCACTCACCAATGTACACCCCCACCACCTGGCTTGGTGCCAGCCCACTATTGGGGTTTATGGAACCAATGGACAAATAAATGAAAAATGCATGAGTGATTAGCTGAATAAATGGAGGGTTTATAACTAGACAGCACAGCTTTATTCCCTTCCAATCCCTCCCAGCCCCGCCCTCCAGTCTGGCCTTACCCTAGCAATCAGCTCCCCGACCATTCCCGTCCAGGTGCCGTTGGCCTCAGGAACGCCATACACGCCGTCCCCGACCAGGCGGATCTTGTAGTTGAATCTCAGGATCTCTGCCAGCTCCTTGAGCATGTCCACACAGAAGCCCTCGTAGCGGTCGTTGCCTTCCATCTCCTGGTGGTTCCCCTTCAGCATTAAATACGGGTTTTCCTGCAGCAAAACTGGGCAGCTGTCATTCTCATCTTAGCCCTGGCTTCTCAGCCACACATGACAGGAAGGGCCAGGGTGCAAAGTGGGGGGAAACAGGGTGCAGAAAGGAAGTGGCTTGGGTAATGGGGTCCCTTGGGGGTGCCGACTAGCTTCCCTCCCCAGCCTGCTCCTTCAAGGTGCTTCCCCTATTAGGAACACGCAGTGGCTCCCGCTGCAGGGAGGCTCGGGCTCAAGATTCTCCACTTTGTTCAAGGTCATTGTCGGCCCCACCCTCCATCCTCCTTCTCTTTTTTCCTCCCGTCCACTTATTCCACACAGACTTGTGGCTGTGAATCGTAAGCAGGTTAGGTGAGGACATGGACACGAACACCTGTAGTCCAAGACAGAGCACGACCCGGCCCCGAGGGCGACAGGAAGAGGGGCCAGAGAAGGCTCCACAGGGAGGCGGGACCTTAGCTGGGCTCTGGGAAAGGGCAGACCATTGAGGGAGGAAGGTGTTGTGATGGGAAGGCATTATAGGCAGCAGAAATCACCACCAAGGCCAGGACCCCAATGAGAACAAACATGGCCTACTCGGGGACAATGGATGCACTGCGTAGCTGGTGTGTGGGCTGTGAGGTGGGGAGGGGAAGTCTGCCCAGATGCACAGGCCTTGGGCGCCAGGAAGAGGAGAGAGTACTCTGCAGGGGTTACGCTGGGGGAACACCTCAGGTCTCATAGACATAAGGCTGTGAGGAAAGAACACCAAACTGAAGGAGAGGGTGCATCTGGGGAGAGGTGAGATAAGGAACCCTGAGCCTCAGTGTGCCTCAGGTTGGCCTGGAGAGAGCAGGAAGGATGCCAGAGGCACAGAAAGGGACAGCTGGATGGCTGGATGGGTGGGGGGTAGAGGAATGGGTCCCCAGTCTTTTGGGGCCCACATGGCTGACTGAGGATTGTCACCACTGGCCTGGATGTCTGGAAGGGAAGGTGATTTGGCACATGTTGGATTTGAGGGGCTAGAGGGTGATCCAGGGAGAAAGGACTGACAGGATGTTTAAAATGTGGAGCAGGGTCAGATGGGGGACAGGGACTGGAAAACTCTGCGTAGAGGTGAAGGCTGAATCTGCGGCGTATGTGACACTGCCGAGGGGGAAGAGTGGAGAAAGGGCAGAAGAGCAACTCAAGGGGGCCCCTGGGGAGAACCCGAGTGTGGAACAGAGGAGAAGCCAGAAGACAAAGCAGCAGCCAGAAAGGCCATAAATCAGGCCACACAGAGCCAAGGAGTGGTGGTGGTGGGGAGAATGAAGGCGCTCCCAGCATCTCCACACAGACCAGGCAGGCTGGGGAATGGGCACCTGGTCACATGTCCCTGACCACCTTTCTGAGACAGAGACAGGCACAGTGCAGGTGGCAGGTCCCTGCTGGGATCAGGAGTGAGAGGGAGCCGCAGGAGCAAGTGGACAGGCATTTCAAGGAGTTAGCAGGTGAGGGAGGCAGGGTGGGGCAGCATAGGGCAGCGGCCTTTCTGCCTGGCCACCAGCAGTCAGACCTCTCCTTGGGCCTGGAGGATCCCCCAGAGGCCACCTGGTTCTGTGAGTCCATCACTCCCTATATGGGAGGGTAGCTTGATAGGCAGCAGGGTAGAGGTGATGGTGTTTTAGGAGGGGACAGACTGGAATATATTTGTAGGCAAGAAGGGAAAATCCCTGGAGGAGAGCACAGAGATGGAAGGAAGAGCATGGCAGCTGGTGGAGGAGGGGTCCAGGGTGCAGAGGCAGAGATGGGGCAGTGGAGGGCATGCGTGTGAGGGCACAGCCAGGGAGGAGGGACATTGCCAGCCCCCAGGGCAGTGCTGACAGAGCAGGCAGGTAGGCTTGGAGGCTGGAGTGTGGGGAGGTTCAGCAGGACTGATCAGGGGATACAACAGGGAGAGAGAAGAGATGGCCCAGCTGAAGAGAAGAGGCTGGCCACAAATAGGTGGGCAGCTGGGAGTGGGGTGACACTCAGGCTTGGGGACAGGTATGAGGGGAGAGGGCTGAGCGCCAGGATTCTAGAAGCTAAGAAAGAAACATGCTAAACTCAAGCTGCAAGGGTTTTCCAGGCTGGCTGGGGGAAGACAGAGGGCCACATCGGCGGGTGGTCACCAGGGACAAGGGATGTGATGAAGTGGGGAGCAGGAAGCCAAAGACAGGGGAACTACACATGGAGGTGGCTGGTTCTGACTCCTCCTGATGGACACCACCATCGTGTCAGTGAGATGGGCCATTCTGCCTGCCTTCCACACATGCCATCCTCAGCACAAGGCCTTCTCCCTGCCCAAACTCCTCTCCCACCACCCTCCAGCCCCCTCTAACTCATCTTTGCCCCTGGAGTCACATTGCCTCCTCCTGTGCCAACCCATGGCTCAGAATCCCTTGCTCTCATGCTAGGGCCCCTGTAATTGTCCTTGGATGCCTTCCTGCTCTGAAGAGGGTGTCAGTGGGGCTGGGACTGACTCGTCACCTTCCTTGGTACTTTTTAGCATTAAGCACTTCCAAGTTCTATGAGTACAAAGCACAGAAATGGCTTCATGGACAAGGCTTGGCTGGGAGTTTCCATATGGGATTGGTAACGTCCCAGGTTATCTTTAATTGTCCCAAGGAGTGTCACAAAATCCTCCTCCCCAAATACTCTCCAGTCTCAAGTTAATTTAAACTTCACTGCCACAGTCAAAGTAAATATGCACACGGCCGATCCTGGAGGAAGGAGATGTGCTGGAAAGCCAAAGGGAAAGGAAGGCTGGGGCTCATTGGCATTTGGGGAACGTGGGGGCTGAATGCAGGCCTGGAGGAGGAGGCCCGTCCAGGCAGGGGTGCTGCAAGAACCTGAGGTCATATTGCAGAAAAATGTTTTAACATGAGGTCCGACACAGCAGAAGCTCAAGAAATGGGCACTGCAGCTAATTCTGTGTGTTTGCTGGTATTAACTAATGGATCATCCCAGACGTCCCAAGTGTACCCTGGCAGGAACATGAGACAACATGGATATGTGCTGAGTTTCAAGGAATAAGTCATTCAAGATTACCATTAGCCAGGGAAGACCCACCAATAGTTACCTGGGGACTGAATTAAGACTGACATTCCTAGTAAGGGTTAGTGGCTTGGATTAACCGTCTCAGGCATCTGCGTGCATACACACAAGAAAAGAACTCACACTAACCTTTCTTGGAGTTCTACTTACAAATGTCACCTCACACAAGTGTCCTGCCCCTCATGAGCACATGTGTGTATGTGGACACAAGCACACATACATGTGCATACACACTGATCAGAGTGACTTTCCCAGCCTTGAAACACAACTCTGTGGGCTCAACGTAGTTGTGTGTCTGTCCCAAAGCTCCAAGGTCAGTCTCATTCCAGGCTCAGAGAGGCAGGAGGTATAACCCAGCCACTTCTTCATCTTCCTCCCAAACTCTTATTGGCTTTTAAGGGACACCTCCTACCTTGTAGGAAGGAATTCCTCTCCCCAGATTCTAATTATTGAACCCCTACTTTGTGTCAACACCCCTTCTTTGAGGAGCTCTCGCCCTAGAAGGGAGAGGCAGTGCTCTAAACAATAATTTTGAACAAGAGAAATGCCACAAAGAGTGGTGTGTCAAAAGCTAGAGATAGGGAGAAGGCGGGAGTTAGAGCAGGTGACATCTGAGCAGAGCTTTGAAGGATGCATAGGTATTTCCAGTTGGAAACACAACTTGGAGGGACTGGTACCCAAGGCACAGCAAGTGCAAAGGCAGGGTACGGGATACAGTGTATCATGACAGGATACAGTGAGGAAAGGGTGGGAGGTCCAGCACCTCTGCACTCCAAGCTGCAAGGAGAGAAAGAAGGTGAGGCAGGCTGGGGCTGATTATAAAGGGGTTATAACCCAAGCTCAGGAGCAATAGGGCCTGGGCACCCACTGAAGGATTATAAGGAAGGAAATAACAGGGCAACTCTAAGCTCAGACTAAGTGAAACCCCAGGAGCTGGAACTGCTCTCTCTGTCCTTTTCCTCTGTGGGGCATTCCTCACCTCCATGGGGGTGTGCTCAAGCCTCACCTTCCTGGTGAGGCCGCCCTGATGGCCTGGGCATCAGCACCACCTGACCCCGTCTCCAGCTCTTTCTCTTCAGATCTCTCCCTTAGCCTCACTGCCCTCCGATTTATTATTTGACTATACATCTTGTTAATGTCCGTCATATATTCCCAGTGGAAGGAAGCTCCTTATGGGCAGGGATTTTTGTCCTTTTGGTTCACTGATGGATCCTGAGCACCAATAGTGCCACCCATCCAGTGGCCCCTGATACATGTTTACTGAAAGAATGAATGAAAATCTCCAGAGACCCTGTCTCCTACCAAGTGAAAGGGAAACCCAGTAGCCTGCCATTCGGGTTCCTAAGCCCTGTGGACCCAACCTGCTTCTCTGGCATATGCTTCACCCTTCCCTACCAATGCCCATGTCCATGTCCTTTTCAGCGTTTTCTGAACACCTTCCAAGGTCCTCTTTTCCTCGCTTCCTCCTTCCCACTTGCTCCCTGTCTTTCAGAGCCCAGCTTAAAGGTCCCTTCTCTGAAGGCTTTGCTAACCTCCCCCGGGAAAGGAACTCTCTCCTTCCACCGCCACAGCTCTAGGTGTGCACGTCCTCCCTGGCTTTTATCTCCCTCTGCTTACAGTAAATCAGTAATTCCAGCCCAGGGTTCCTGGGCCCCAGGAGTTCATTCAGGGAGTGATGGAGGTCCCCGAGCTCTTTTCGTCACTTATCTCCAACAGCCTAAAAGAAATGGCCACATTTGCAGTCAGTGCCGTTGGCAATGGCAAGGCTGGGCAGACCAACGTGAGCACCAGCTTTGCTGTGGGCTGAAATGATATCAGTGTGGCAACACTGGCCACCTCCTGCCGACAAGATGCTGTGCCAGGCAGGGAAGTACACTTTTCATTAGTTAAGAGGAGGAGGGGGAGAAAGAGACTGATTACTGCTTAATACATGCGGCTGGTTTAATTGACAAATCTTTTAAAGCATGAGGTCTTGGGGGGAAGACAACTACCTTGCTGTGTCTGCACTTGACTTATCCCATGTACTAAATTATATTCTCTTCAAGGATAGAGACCGAGTCCTACTCATCTTTGGTGTACAGGACAGAGAACAGTACCTCACACATGGTGGGGGGTGGGGGTAGAGGATGAACTTGGTAATTAATAAATAGAACTGGATCAAATTAAAGGGGCACATGGTTCTTTGCCCTATAGATTAATTGTTGACCTCTCTTTTCTCCATCTGGAAGTAAAGAAACAGGCCATGTAAACCCACAGATGTTCAGGTGTTCACTTAGGGAGTGTGGTGGGAAAGGGCCCCATGTTGTTCATCACAGCAGGCACCAAACAAGGTAGGCTGCTGGAAAGGGCAGAGGATCCCCCCAGGCGGCTGGACCCAGTTCCCCTAACCTTATCTGTGAACAGCTGTCAAGGTGCCCCTGAAAGAGGCATCCACAAACCGTGGTGTCTCCCTACCCCATCCCTCTTCCCCAGCTGCTTCAGAACTCATCAAATATCATTTCCATGAGAAACAGCATCTCGAGTGTAATTACAGCACCATAAATTGGCCTCAGTGCTGTGATTAGAGCTCCCATCTTCTATCACGGGGAAGCCTGTGAGCACTCAGAGCTGGGGAGGCACCCCAGGGAGCTGCAGCTGGGAGCCCAGGGGACCCCTCTTACCAGGATGGTAGTGACGACCAGAGTGGTGTTGAAGAGGCTGTCGGAGATGTTGGAGGCGTACAGGCGGCTGTCCATGCTGAGGCCCTCTGCCACGTGCCACTGGCCGATCTGTGGACACCAACAGAAGAGGGCTGAGAAGAACTGGAGGAAGGAGGAGACTGGGAAGACCAGGTGGTAGGTCCTGGGTGCTGTGGGCCTCCAGAGGTGGAAGGAGCCAGAGACCAGGCCCTGCCTCTTGATGGCCCGCACATAAGCCATAGAAGGAAGGAGTAGTGTAGAATAGGGACAAGGGCTGTACAGGGCTGCGGGTTGTTATACAAGATTGTGGGACTGAAAGAAGAAAGAGGTGAAGACTTGGGAGAGGTGGAAGAAAAAAGTGAAAAAATAAATCAGAAATGGAATGAGGTTCAGGAAACTCAGCTCTCGCAGAGGGAATGAAATGTAGGATCACGTTATTTTGAGGCAGGGATGAGCCACAGAATTCTTTGGCTTCAGCTTTCAATCGCTGATTATCCAGGTAGGAATCGGGATGGTACACGGGAGAGAACCAGGCCCATTCCTAAGTGTTCACCCAATGGTTACATGAATGAACAAATGAATGAACCAGAAGAGAGATGGCCCAGGTCCTAGTCCAGGTTGACTGGCTTGCTGGCTGTGAAAACTTGGGCAAGTTATTTAAATCTTGCAGAACCTCAGTTTCTCCGTCTCTAAGTGGGGATGGTGAGGTTTGCCCCCCTCCTTCTCAGAGCCTCTCATGACCTCGGAGATCATGCATTTTCCAGTCTGATGTCACATAATGCCTCCAGACCCGGGAGCAGAGAGCTAGACTCTGAAACCTTAGAAAAGTTACTGAACCTCTCTGATCGTGTTTCCACATCTGTAAAATGGGATAATAATAGAAACTTCATTGGGTGAGATTAACCTGGTGCTCAGTAAATGTTCTGTTCCCCCCACATTGCCTTTTTCTTTTGCTTCCTGTTGCTGTTTGTTTCCTTTATCTTACTGTGATGAGAGCGCTTAATACACATATGTGATGCACTCTTTTACCAGATTTTAAGAGTGCATTGCCTAACTGTTGATTATCCCATTGCCTTAAAGACCTAACCCTGCCCCCCAAAACAAAACTCTACAACTTCACCAGTTTTGCATTCTAGAAAGTTACCTAAACTTCACAGCAGTGGGTTTTTAGATTGTTTGCTTTTCCTAGTGCAACACTTCTTATAAATAATTTTTTTAAAAACTATATACATTTTTTTCAAAACCATATACACATACACTCAAACATATACACATGTATATACATAAAATCCCAATATATTTCTACTAGCTGGAGCCCCTGGCACATCATTGCTGTTGCTGAGTGTTTTTAGGTGGGCAGCCAGGAGAGATGGCTGACAGCTGGCTAAAAACCCCATGAAATGCACACATCCCCCTCTGCCAGGCATCTCCAGGCAGCAGCAGCAGCTTCTCTGGAAAACCCTCTTAAGTCCCATGGGTGCCAAGTGGGTCTAACTCCACAGCTGGGCTCTGGGTTCTGTTATGGAATCTCTAGCAACAACCAAAACATGTCATACCCTCGTCCCCTGCCCCTGCTCCTACCCAATGTGGCCAGAGGGCTAAGGATCCCAGGGAGCAGCAACCAGCCCCTGCCTTGCTGGTCTGGAGAGGGTGGAGAGAATAAAAGGCAGAGCCAACCAGGACCTCCCAGTTCTAGGCTGTAGCCTCAGGAGACCAAAAAGGCTACAGACGGGCCTCTGATGGGGCAAAGGGGAAACGATCAAAGAATTCTTTCCAAGCTTGGAGATGCCCCCTGGAAAAGAGTAGGCAGTTCTCTCTGCCTCTGCAAGGGCGCAGTGGTTCCATGCATGCTCCTGTTCCTCTTTAGTTTCTAGGCAGGGTCTCCGGCATGTCCTTATAGCAGGCCTCGTTTTATAGATAAAGAAATGGAGGCCAATCCAACTTGCCTGTGGTCACACAGCCCATCAGCTGAGATGCCTGAGTTCTTAATTGCTGATGAGTCTTCCACGGCCCCCCTGTCTGATTCCTCCAGTGTCCAAGTGCACATTTCTGTTTCTCTGTCTGTCTCCCCCACTGGCTCCTGAGTCTCATAACAGAAGGAATAGGCATTGTTTATGCTTATACTCCAGCACCTTGGGGACTGGGATGCAGAAGCAGGGAAAGCCATTGGCTCCTAGGGGGAGGTTGCTGCTGTCCGCAGTAACACGCACAAGGCTGGGAGCCCTCCTCTGGCCTCTGGAACTCCCAAAGGAACCAGCCAGGCTGCATTATTGCCTGACCTTCCTCCTGGGTCTGCAGGGGGATGAGGGATGAACCGCTGGATTTCCAAATGAAAGGGAAAAGGGTAACAGTGACTGCACACCTGCTGTGATAGATGGTTAGGCTCCATCCTCTCTTTCATTCTCACATCAACACTTTAGTGTAGTTAGGGTGTTTCTATCTTATTTGGGAAGAAACTGAGGTTCAGAGAGGCCTAATACCTTCTCTAAGGTCCACCCTCTCACCCCCTGCGGGAGTACAGTGCAGGCTTGAAGCCCAGGTCTGCCTCCTAATCTGGGAGCCTTCCTTTCCCTGCTGGGAGGCTGCTAGTACACCCTTCATTTAAGCAGGTCAGGCCACCCAGGAAACAGCTCCCAGGGGCCTCAGCCTTCTGGTAAGAACTCCAGACACACAGCTTTCTTCTCCTTGGTTTCACTGGACACTGCAAAGTCAGATGAAATTACTGTCCTCTCAGAGGCTTGGTTTCCCTGTTCTCAGAATGGGTAGAATTGACTCCTGACAGACTCCTAGGCAGGGAAAGGCTCTATTTGGACAGAAGGAACATGAAGAGCAATTGGGTTGAATGTCAGGATTGGGGCATTTGGGATGGGACTGAACTTCTGCCACCGTAAACCTCTGCTTCACACTAACAAGCAGTGAGATCTCAGTGCCCCGCATCCTCCAGACATTTGCCCACCTCACTAACCACCTGCTCTAAGAAGCCCTAGCTCCAGCCTCCCTGGTCTTCCCCAGTGTACAAGATAGATTCTTGCTAAAGCCAGAGACAGAAATGCTTTACCCAGAGCCAGATCCAGCAGCCTGAGCAATGCCCCTCCCCTTTTCCACCTCTGGGGACACAGCAGAGAGACTAATTAGCCCCCAAGCTCCAGTCAGGAAATGAATCTCCCACCCACCCTCCCATTAGTCCCAAAGAAATTAATAAACTCATCAGATCCAACAAAGCGGCTTGGCAGCTATTACCCAGCGCAATCTAATTGCAGAAAGGCAGTGGGAGGGAAGGGGAGAGACAGAGCCCGGTGCCCTGGGATACAGGCTAATTGCCCCACCCACTGGGCACCCTCAATGCCACACACGTGCCAGGGGCAGGCAGGAGATAACTCTTTCATCACGGACAATCTGCGGCTCTGCCTTCAGCCAAATCCCCTTGCTCCACCCTGCTGACACCTGCCCCCAAAACCTCCTCTAGGAACAGCTGTTTAGAAAGCCGCTTCCACATGCCCACATGTGCTGTCTCAATTTTGCCTTGGATAATGTCTCTCTGTGGCTCTCTCTGGACTTTCTGTCTCTCCCACCTGCTCTGCCTTTCTGCCAGTTTAGAGGTCCCAGGGGTTGCAGTGAAGGGAAGGGAAGAGTGGATTTGGGCAGCACCGCTGCTAGCTTATATACAGCATCTTAATGCAGATTTTTTTATAAGCCCCCCTCTGGGCTGCCATGGCCCTGACTGCTCACCACTGGGAATGCGAAGTTCAGGCTGGATTTCAGCCTCTCCTCATCCTTGAACATTGCACAACCAATCCATGGCCCCAGAATTAGAGGACTTGGTTTAACCTGGGTTCTCTGCTATGAGGTATGTGATCTCAGGTAAGCCGATGAATCCCTCTGAGCCTCAGTTTCCCTAATCCATAAATTGGGGATTAAAATAGTAATTATTACCTTACAGGGTTCTTTTTTTATTTTTTTATTTTTTTTTTGAGACAGAGTCTCACTCTTGCCCCAGGCCAGAGTGCCATGGCATCAGCCTAGCTCACATCAATCTTGGACTCCTGGATTCAAGCAATCCTCCTGCCTCAGCCTCCCCAGTTGCTAGGACTACAGGTGCCTGCTACAACACTAGCTAATTCTTTTTTTCTGTTTCTGGTAGAGATGTGGTCTCACTCTTGCTAAGGCTGATCTTGAACTTCTTTTTTGTTTTTTTTTTCTTGGTTGCCCTTGGCAGAGTGCTGTGCCATCACAGTTCATAGCAACCTCCAATAGTGCCTGCCAGAATGCCCAGATATTTTTGATTGCAGTTGTCATTGTTTAGCAGGCCTGAACCCGCCAGCCAGCCTTGGTGTATGTGGCCAGCATCCGACTCACAGAGCTATGGACACCGAGCCTGATCTTGAACTTCTGAGTTCAAAGGATTCTCCTGCTTTGGCGTCCCAGAGTGCTGGACACAAGCCCAGTGCCCAGAACCTTATAAGATTCTTAAGGAGATTAAATGAGATGGTGTATGAATAAAGTACTATGTTGGTATTCATTAGTTTTTAATGCCATTGCCTAAGGCAGAGGTGGGATCTCCTCTGTGCTCTACACAGTGGACTTCCGTTTATTAAACAGACTAGGCCAGGGTCTCAAAGTTTGGTTGCCAGACCAGCAGTATTAGCATGAGAAATGCAAATTCTTGGGTCTTACCCCACACTGACTAAATTAGAAACTCCAGGTGTAGGGCAGGCTGGATTAGAGCAGAGCAGAAAACAACTCAGAGGACGCACAGGATGACAGGAAACAACAGGGTGCAGAGATAAATAGTGACTCAGTGCCTCCCCAGAGTGAGCGAGGAAATGCCTAAAAACTGGCTCTTGAGCAAAATTTTAAAAAGGGCCCTAGTTTGTAGTGTTTGCTAATTTCTGTGGTGTAAACACTCCCAACGTGGCTGATTTCAAGCTGCCAACCCGATGTCACCAAGCACAGAGCCCAGATGTGTACAATGGGCTCTCGCCAGCTGGGGCAAGGTATCCCCACGAGCTGGACACTAGGAGATTATGCATATGAATCTCATTGCCTCTCTACTTAGTCAGGAAAGTGATATCTAGACAAGTTAATAATGT